TAAAAAATAAAACAAACAACAACAAAAAGGAAGACTAACTGGCTGAGAAAAGGGTGCTTGATGTGACATTTTCTGGAAAATTGAACTTGTCTCTTGAAACACTGCACTCAAAAAAACAACAACACAGAGTGCAGCACCTTTAAAGAGCCTTGTGGCACCTGCTGGTGCTCTACGTGTGAACACACCCGTTTGCAGAGTCCCATGTTCTTGCGTCCTTTTCTTTATCCTTCACTTGATCTTTACTCTGATTCAGGAGCGAGAGCCTACATTTTCCTGTGCAGGTGATCAAAGCTTTTTGTAAGACCAGTGCTCACATCACAATCCATTAATATCTGAGCAGAATGTCTAAGACCGCGGGGGGTGGGGGACTCCATGAGTCTGGCATCCCCCTGGTCTTCTTCCTGCTCAGCAGGACTCTGGATAATGACTCCTTTCGGGAGACAGCGGACTATGCTGTGGCCTTCTCTTTGAGAGGGTTTGGAGTGCCTCGCGGCAGGGTCCTCCGCCTGGAGGTCCTGTGCCCTCAGACTAATGTCTTGCTCTGACAGCACAGGCAGCGTAGGTCTATAGAGACATTTGCATGCGTATCAAAACAGGGCTAAAAACCCCAAACACCTTATCTACATTTTAGTGGTGGGAGGATAATGTTGCTCTTTTTAGCCAGTGTTATGACTTGTGAAAGGACTTGGTCACCTCCCTCTAGCCTGGCCTCTCATTGAACTGACGCAGGAGTAGGTCAGTTAGTACATGCAGAAGTTTCATGTTCTTAGAAGAGGTAACAGGGGATTTGTGAGCCTCCAGCACAGCTTGACTTGCCTGTGAAGTGGCTGAAGGTGGAGGAGGAAGAGCAGAGGGTGAGGTGGAATAGGAAAGACAGGTAATTGTGTCTCTGGGGGTCGAGGCGGATCTGTTTGTGATCTGACAGAACAGGAAGGGGAGGGGGAAAAAAAGAACAGAAAAGCTTCCTCTTCTCTCCCGAAGCTTCTGTCGGCTCTGAGCATGGGGAGAGGAAACAGACAAGGGAAGTATTGACCCAAGGTGGTCGGATTCATCCCTCTCAGAGAACAAATGGGCAGCTCTGTTCTTATCAGACTTACTGCTCTGCTGGTAAGACCAGCTTTTCCTCGACGCCAAACAAAGGAAGTCCAATAGTAGTCCTCAATCTCTCCATGTTTACGCCTCGTCTTTGTTCAGCACAACAGACCCAGAAGCAGCTGAAAACGAGGAAAGCGTCGTCTGTTTAAAAGTGGCTGATTGAAATAACGAAAGTGCAACACCTTTCGAGGCTAGTATTCAATAAAAATAAACAAAAACAAAACATTGCTTTTTTAATTGTTGTGAAACGGTGTCAGAATTCCCACCAACATGGAGTTACATTAGTGCCTTCGGGCAAGCGGCAACGAACGACAACTTGATCTCCATCAGGGCTGAGAAAGCTGAACACAAACGGGCAATAACTAAATGAACTGACTGTAAACCATGACTGAATATTCTTGTCATTTAAGCTCACATTTTGTGGACAATCGTCTTGAGATACAACCAGCAGTAGCTTATACTGTAAACAACAACAAATAACGATACATATTTGCGCAGTCTTCTGTCTAGACACATTCTTGTCTTAATGAATTGTTAAGTGTTGACATGGCAGTTCAGCTATCCTCTTGGGAATGCAGTAATACAACATAACAGCATGAAATACATAACGATATGGAACCAGAGCAACACAAACAATACCCCTCTTTCTGATTTATTCAGAAAATCCGTATCAGGGTGTTTTCTAACAGAGAAAATGCAAAGCATTTGGAGGCTGACAGCAATCACCACATGTACTAACAACCTGACATTCTCTTTATCTGCAAAGTTTTCCACTATGCTTTATTAGAAAGTTTAGAAGGTACAAGTGAGACGTCACTGGCATTTTCGTCTGAGTTTGCCGTCATTTATATCTCAGGAGAAAAGGTTCTCATGATACTGTACATCCACCGAAGAATAAAGCCACTGCCCCAGAGCACGATGAGGTAACTCTTTTCAGAAAAGGTAATGCCTCAGAGGTTAGCATGGCATTTCCATTCATCGTGGTGCGCCTTTCATTGGTTTTTGAGGTGTTGAAGACCTTTTCAAGTCTGGTAAGGTGGTCAGGTGCGACGTGTAAGGCCTTTTCAGAAGCCACTGAGAGATGACACAAAATAGTTGGCAGATATGTCAAGAATAGGAAGTAATGTAGAATGATGAAGGATAAAAAAGAGAAGAGTAGAAAAAAGTTAAAAAGGGTGCATCAACTTTCATTTTGCTGAAGCAAACTGCATTATATTTTGGGTGGCCACTTATGGCCAGGCGGCAACCTCCGGTTCTGAAAAGTGAAGCCAATGCGGAAGTGTCTTAAAACCTGCATTCTCTGACCAGCAGGGGGCGACTCCTCTGGTTGCAAAAATAAGTCTTATTGTATGGAAGTCTATGAGAAAATAACTCTTCTCACTTGATTTATTACCTCAGTAAACATTGTGAACATGTGTTTATGGTCTCAATCTCTAGTTTCACGTCACTGTCATTTTCTCTACCTCACTGTGTTCAACCTGAATGTTTCGCTTGATAAAGTATGAATTCCATTGCAGCGTGCCCCTTATCTGACACAGTGCTTTGTAATTAATGATTAAATAGTTGACGGAGATAAAACATTGGCTGCATGGTTTTTGGCATTGCTCCTGTCATGCTCTATTAGCTAGTTCATGCTACACCATGAATATTGATGGAGTCGAACAGTGGCCACAGTAGAAGTGTTTGTGGCAGCGTGGAGTCTCGTCCCTGTGATGATGGCCATTAAGAAGGTATCGGCAGAGCACACAGCAGGCAGAATAACGATGAATGTGTTTGCTGTTCTATCTTTTCTTTTCCTTTTTGTACAATGTGAATGTCATTTTCACCAGCTTTTATGAGGTGGCGATGTGGTTGATACTACATAATACAGACCCACAGCAGTGTAGATTCACTCCTTTATTTGGAATCCTACCCCACCTGCCTCGCCAGTTGAATTGGATTTTTTTTGAAGTGTTGGAGTGGACGAGAAAGGATTAGGCAACCCTGGGGGTTTTGTTTCGTGAGGTGACAGCAGTCGAGGCTCTGTGAGATGGAGGAGCGATGATGGTGAGGCCTGCTTCAACGCTTGCTTGTATCTTTTGAAACAAATTGATTGATTTTTTGTATGTTTAGCCTGAACTTTCTGGCTGTTATTTTGTAATTGTAATGCAGGGTTAGTGTGGTGTCCAGTTTAATTTCCTGTATATTATTATTATTATATTAGTGTTGAGTGATTAAGTCAGCTTTTCTGGAAGTTAGATTTCCCTTTTTGTTTGTTCTCTGTAACGTCCTTAACATCTGCTGGAGCAGTCACTTTCTTTTAGTAGGAAACACACAGATGGACTCTCGCTTCATGTCAGGTCCTGGTGTGACACAATGGACCTCATACAAGAATATTTGAGGAAGAGGAACAAGAGGAAATACGAAGCAAAAAGAGAGGAAGGACGCATTCGGGAAATAATTATACAGGCATTTTACTTTGTAATGAAAAGACGAAACAGAAAATGATGAGAACCTCAGACTCACATTTTTGGCCTGATACTGAGGTACGTTACTGCAAAATGTTTGTCTTGCAGAGTCAAATCATACTGAATAAGCCTCTGTCTTCTTCCTGCAGAATGGGAGAGGTGGCTGCTCCAGTGACCTCCTCATACAAATCAATCAGAATTCAACACATCGCTAACACCACCAATCAGAACAATTAGCTCTTAATTTTTCTTAAGAGTTGGCACTGAACAATCGAAATCCTGAGTTTCCACAATTAAACTTAATTGGCCGTGTTGATGAGCTGTGTTTCGAATGCCTGCTCTGGTGCTTGAAGTCCGAGACATAACTGTCCGTCAAACCACGCGCGGCCTCACAAACTCAGCTGTATGCATGTTTTTAGAGCAGTTTGTGGAGTGTTCTTGCTGTTTTTAATACATTATATAATTTTCTGTTCATACAAAATGTTATTTAGATTTAGTTTATATTACAAATAACAGTATACTGATGAGAACATAGCATGAGTTTTAATCACGTTTCATACAGTATCTGCCACCTTGGATAACTCTGTAGCGGCTGCTCTCGGCACATTTCACTCATGAACACACCCTCCTATTACACCCGTAGTGGTTTGTTTGTCTGTGCTGTGGCATCAGCTAACAGCCTGGTTAATAGTATTCCGTGCAGTCAGATGTGTCGTTTGCATTAACAACATTTACTAATTGCATCCTCCCATGGAACTAATTGATTTATCATTGTGCTGTGATCCTATAATATCCTCAGGGTCTCAGAAAGTCATTTCCAAAGCGGAGACAATTTCTTAAATGGCTGCATTGAATTTTAATGCTGAGCAGAGAATAATAGCTTTTGGTGATGAGGGTGTGTACGGCATGTGTATGTCTGTGCATATGTGTCACAGCAGTGAAGCTGAATGTAATTTTCTAGGTGTCATAACAAATAGAAAGAGATTTCTTTTCCGCCCTTTGTGTAAACTGCCAGCTGTCAGTAGCACACTTTAGGGAGAAAAATATAACTCGTACAGATTTCGGAGGAAAATGAAATGGTTATAAATTGGGTTTCTATACAAGTTTGTGTGTTTGTTGAAAAAATTGATGTAGCTTTATTCAGGCATTTTACTGCACCAATTCAATTTTTGAATAGATTCCTATGCATCACATTTGTATTATTTAGAAGCACAAGATATCGTCCTGTATTTCTTTACAGTTTAATATCAAAGACTAGCTCACCACCACCAGAAATCAGTTCATGTTTTACAGAGCCACTTCTCAGTTTTTCAAGGAAACATCTTTCATTTGTAGATAATGTGATGGAGAGCTTTTGTGTAATCCAACAAAATGTTGTGGTTCGTATATTTTTGGAAACAGACCAGCTAAAATGATGGAGGTCTAAATAGTTTGTACTTTTTCTGTGTGCTCTTGCAGGGGTTGAACCAGATGAGGAAGGTCGCTCAGGTGGGACTCGATGGTGTGCGGCGGACAGACTGGCACGACTACGAAGCAATGAGGAGAGATGCTGCTCGCTCAGGTAGGTCCTAGCTCTGTGCTGATGCTGCTGTTTTGTTTGGGCATGTTTTCTCAGAACATCTGCTGTGTTTCAGCACTGAGGCCACACACACTACACACACACACAGACTGCAGCGTTCTATTTCGCTTCTCGTGTTTTTTTAATTTATTTCCTCCTCTTAATACCTTCCAAGTGGATGTGTATCTCCCAGAAGCAGTGTGAATCAATGCTGCGAGTACAGTTCTGAGTCCGTAAATTATACACAGTTAATCTTCTACTACAAACATCGATTCAGTCTCATGCGTTACAAATGTAACAGATTGAATTGGCTTTTATATATTATTAGGTGGTGCTATAAGAACAGTGCTGCTGATAGGATTCTAATTGTTATAGTACGCACAAGAACTGCCTGCACGCTTATAGGCTACCTTTGATGTCTAAGTTCCCAGCATGCACTTATGCAGTCTGTTAGCCTTTCAAAAGCATTATTTTCACTGCTGGGTAAGCCCATTCATTAAGGTGCCATGGACGTTATCTCACAGAAATACTTGAAATGACCACAACCTCTTAACAGCAGAGATAGCACTTTAAGTGTTAAGATTCTGTGTCTGTACCACAGGGACAGTGTACACTTAGATTTAGGCAAAAAAACACAGATTTTCACAACTCTTTACACAAATATTTCCCTGCTTTTGCTGGCTTCTTACATCCAGCTGAGTAAACGGGCCAAACCGTCGGCAAAACGAGTAAAGCTGCTGGGTGTGATAACATCCCTGGTCGTTATCATCAGCTAACTGAAGTCATCCCTAAGATTTTCAACATGTGACTGTCACAGGACAGCGTTCCCAGTTCGGAATGAGAGCCACACGTCGTCCTCCCTAGTGTTGAACACCAGAGCCCCCCAAGGCTGTGTGTTCAGCCACCTCCTTTTCACACTGTACACCACCGACTGCTGCCCCCGACATGAAAACAACTCTGTTGTGAAGTTTTCAAATGACAAAACCTTCATCGGACGGATTACAAACAACGATGAGACTTCACAGGGAATCTACAATCTTCCAGAATTGTGCTCTGAGAACAACCTGTTGCTCAACATCAGTAAGACCAAGGAGCTGATTTTTGATTTTCAGAAAAAAAGGAGATGAAGACACACTCACCCCTGTCTACATCAATGGAGATGAGGTGGAGCAAGTGGACAGTTTTAAGTTCCTGGAAATCAGCATCACAAACAACCTGATATGGTCAGCACACATCTCCATCCTGGTGAACAAAGCTCTTAAGGAAACTTAAGAAGGCAAAATGCCCAGGTTAGTTCTTGTTCAATTTTACAGAGGAGCATTAGAAGGCTGACTGGAAACATTACAAACTGTCATGGGATGTGCATGACCCACGACATGAGGGCTCTACAGTGGGTAATTACAACTGCACAGAACATCATTGGTACCCAGCTACTGAGCATCAGTGACATTGGTGACAGGAGGTGCCTGCGAGGAGCTCAAAGAATGTTAAAAAGACCCATCCCATGCATAGCCTGTTCACCCTGCTGCATACTGGCAAGTGTCACAGAAGTATCAGCTGCCGTACCAGCAGACTTCAGAGCAGCTTCTTTCCTCAGGCTGTTAGACCTCTGAATTCATTCTCCACCCTCCACCATATAATAAAGTTGTTTTTTTTTGTATTGTATTATATAACAAAATGGGACTACAAAATCCATTTTGTTGCGCAACCCTGTTGCGCAAAGACAATAACTAGACCCTGTGCCTTGTACTTTCAGACCCAGAACCTGCAGAGAGATATGTAGTATGAATTTGGGACACAGCTTGTGTTTGAATATCTCAGCATGCAGTAATGGAGAAAGGCAAATTGAGAGACTGTAGTTTGGAGACATACAGAAAGAGTAACAGTGTATGTCTCAATAACCAAACCTGTCTGGAGCACTTCACATGTCGCCAGCTAAGTAGGAAAGTGTGTAGTGTGCAAGTAAACAACATTTCAGTTTGAAGAAAAGCACTGAAAGAATCTGTAATCCAGTCAAAAGGAATCTTATAGGATGGTTTTTAAAAATGTCTTCGGGTTCAGATTTGCCCGAGGAGGAGCAGAAAACACAAAATAAGTGATATATGTGTGTTCATTATGGAAGGAGAAGAACACTGTTAAGTAGAATAGTTTATCTCTGAAATGAGCCATTAAAGTGAGGAGTTCTTCTTCACAGTTATTACCTTCGGGATCGTAGACAGATCATCTCTACCTAAACAAGGCAGCCCACTTTAATTTGATGCTCTCCTCTGACTATAGATAAGCCTCCATGCATGCGTCTTTGTGTGGAGTGCATTGATGAGTGGCTAATGAAACATGCAGCACAGTGTAATTTGATGCACTCCTGAAATAAGCTTGAATGTTTGTGGGTTGTTGGAGTGATTAGGTAGATGCCTGTGTGTACATGTCTTACATCTAGGCTAAGTGCTATACAGTATATGTGTAGGTATATATTGGTTGTCTTGACTTGAAACGATTGGTTGATTAATTAATTACTAAATGGACTGAAAACATATTGCTTCATTTTTTATTAAAGTAATTTTTCCCCAGCCGATTACAATGCTTTGAATCCAAATATTAGCATATTTTCTTGCTCTGTTATGATATTAAACTAAATAGGTTTGGGTTTGGGACTGTTGGTCAGATAAAACAAGCCACTTCGGATTTGGAAAACATTTTCTTCTTACCGTTTGCTGACGATTTGCAAACCAGACGATTCATAGATTAAAACGGAAAATAAGCAGCAGATTAACCAATCATGAAAATAATTATTAATTACTGCACAAAAATAACATTTTCTGTGCTTCAATGCTTTGATCCCTTGCATGCATTTTGTAAATGTAGCTAGTTTTATCCGGATTTCTCATTTGAAAGAAGAGACTTCCTGTTTGTATAAAGGATAAAATAATTAAAAAGTTCAGCTTGCTCAAAAAAGAGAAACAGATTTTAATGTTTACAGTGAGTTATGAAATTGATGAGTGCACATTTGTATTCATACCTCTCAATACAACCTGTGTTGCATTTTGTATTTGTCATCTTTCTATGTCACAGGGGAAGTATCATAAAGGTAATTACAGAATATCATTAAATAACACAAACAACAAACAAACATCTGGTCTTCTCCAGCCAGAAACCTTCAACCAGTATTAATTGATTTTTGGCCACTTGGGGGGCCACAATTGGTGGAGTAAACACACCATGATAATCAACCTATATCAAGTGGACAAAAGAAGCTTACGCAGTGTTTGAGTCTAAATGTATGAGTCACTGACCTGTACTGTATGTTTGTGTTTGATTCAGGTAACGGTGAACAGGGGAAACCGTTTCCTCTGTCAGAAAGTGACCGGGTAGACCAGGCCTACAGGGAGAACGGCTTCAACATTTACATCAGCAACCGGATCTCCCTCAATCGCTCCATCCCTGACATTCGACATGCAAAGTAAGTCCTGTATGTGTGTGATGGTGTGTATAGGTGAGTTTTACCTGTCTTGAGGGGACCTTCATATTTTCACATTTTGGGGACTCGCCTTCCTTACGGGGACATTATGCACGTCCCCATAACCTAAGTCATTACATTTTTGGAAAAGACTTTGGGTAAGGTTTGGTTTAGGTTAAGGTTAGGAAAGGGTTAGTATTAGGCTGGTAGCGGTTATGGTTAGGGTGTGTCTCCAGGAAATCGGTGTAAGTCAATGTAATGTCCCCAAAATTCATAAAACGACAACTGTGTGTGTGTGTGTGTGTGTGTCTGGCTCCCGGTTAATGTTTGAAAGCACACCTTAAACAAAGTCGAACACTTGCTATGCACAGTCAACAATGCATGCAATTTGAATGCATTGACTTGCTTGTGAAATGCCAACATAAAGATCATTTTTAGGAGTACCACCAATGGACTGACATTGCCGTGAATCATTTGATCATATCTTGTGAAAAAAAAATCAGGCACACGCAGTAAAATGTGGAATTCTATCAAGTTCCCTGACATCCACCTGTGTATTCATCGCCATAGGAACAGCACGTCATGGAGAGAATGTTTGGTGCAGTATTTGTCAAGGATTACTGCTGCGTCAGAAAATAAAGTTATAGAATTTAGAGACCAGGGCCTATTCAGACTCCTGCATGCTCCCTTTCAATCCCAGAATGGTATTGTCGAAGGCCTTAAATCAAAGTTTTTCTTTTGCCTGCCTGCCTGACTATCATCTGACTACTGACCCTTCCCTTTCTTTCATGTAGAAAGCAGCTTGGAATGCAGGAGTATACAAAAATATGTTTCATCATGTAGACTATTTATTTCTTCAATTACCAGAAAACATAATGTCATGTTATACACCGATTTGGAGGTACGCCCATCCCTTCAGTCTGGATAAGTGTTCCAGGATTTCAGCAGGCCAAAACATGCAACAACTTGAATATTTCTACTGTTACGTCTCAAGTCAAATCAAGTCTCAATTAAGTCAAGTCCTTCCCTCCATCGATTATCTACAAGTGTTTACTTGACAACAGCAGACACTTGTCACCCTCCTGTGACCAATCATGCGGACACACCTGCTCCCCCCACCGACCAGTGGCTGCTCCCCCTGACTTCATTCACTTTGTCTGCCTCATAGGCGTCTCTCTCTTGGTGATTGGCATGTTGTCGGTGCCTCCGAGGCAGCCAGTCCCAGACCTGCGACTGACACATTCGATTTCTGCACGCTGACGAGAGTTAATTGAAGCACACATACACTCTCTCACACACACACACACACACACACACACACACACACACACACACACA